AAAGGGACAGGGACTCAGGTAGGTGTAATTTATTCCCCACATTAATGCACACTTTTTTTCCCCCCACTTCTTCCACAGCCCCCAAAACTTCACCCCTTTCCCATCTCCCTCTCAAAATGGTGGTCAACTGCAAGCAGGCAGGGAACAAACAAATTCTGCTTTAATGTAGCCCAGTGGTTCCCAAACTTGTTCCGCCACTTGTGCAGGGAAAGCCCCTGGAGGGCCGGGCTGGTTTGTTTACTTGCCGCGTCCACAGGTTTGGCCGATTGTGGCTCCCAGTGGCCGCAGTTCGTTGCTCCAGGCCAATGGGAGCTTCTGGAAGTGGCGGCCAGTACATCCCTCGGCCTGTGCCACTTCCAGCAGCTCCCATTGGCCTGGAGCAGCGAACCTCGGCCAGTGGGAGCCGCGATCGGCCAAACCTGCGGATGCGGCAGGTAAACAAACCAGCCCGGCCCGCCAGGGGCTTTCCTGCCACAAGCGGAAGAACAAGTTTGGGAACCACTGATGTAGCCAGTTTCTTACAATAGTTTAGTTTTAAACTAAACTATTGTATCTGTTCAACCTTATATTTAGCTTTTAGAGTAACAGACGTGTTAGTCTGTCTTTGCAAAAAGAAAAGGAGTACTTGTGGCACCAGAGACTAACCAATTTATTTGAGCATGAGCTTTCGTGAAGCTCATGCTCAAATAAATTGGTTAGTCTCTAAGGTGCCACAAGTACTCCTTTTCTTTTTTATATTTAGCTGTGACACTGAGTACCTTTCCCAGACTGGAGGAAGAGCTCTGTGTCGCTTGAAAGCTTGTCTCTCTCACCAATAGAAGTTGGCCCAGTTAAAGATATTACCTCACCCACCTTGTCTCAGTTTATTTTAAGAGCACCAGGCAAAATTCAACAAAAAGAAAACTGGACACAACTAAAAAAACATTCCCAAATAGATATTTTAGCAAAAGCCTTTGAGGATTTAAATGTCAGGCAGGGAAAAAAATGTCAATAAAATAAAAACAATGCAAATATAATTCAATGCATTCAAAACAGAAAAAAATACATGCAAACCAATACCTGAGCAATGAAATAGAATACATAAAAAATAACTGGAAGTAATCCAGGGACTGGACATTCAGAATACATGGTATTGCAGAAATAGCATTGTAAAAGTTATTTGATACAGATATTCTAAAGAAAAAACACAATATTTTGGTTTTCCAGTCCAAGATCAAAACAAATTACTTGCATTTTGTCCTTGGATTCAGAAAAGAGATAGATATAGCATGTTGCTGGCTCAGGGAGCTTGGCTTGGCCAGACTTACAGAACTAGCTGGAAAGCACAATGCTTCCCATTTTAGGAGCTTCTAGTTTAACTTGGCTTGGACATCTTTTTGTCTCCTGGCACAATTTCACCGAAACTTTCAAACAGTGTTTGATCTTTGCCTGAACATTTCTAGGAAAAGAGCCTTGTTTCTCCCATCCCAGTACACCTTTCCATGTCATAACAATGAGTCCTGGAGAACCATTGCTGTGAAGAGGGTGGGTAGCTTGCAGGACCAAGCAACCACACACTGTCTTGAGCAGTTGCCTTCTCTGGCCCTTTGGTACCCTCCAGAGTGATATATCTGCCAGGATCACTACTGCCTCTAATAATTTTAGAAGTGTTTATTACACTATCCCTACAGTTCTCCTACACCTGGCCCCAGACCTGTAATGGTCAGAAGTTTTGAAAAGTACCTGCATCTACTCACTACAGTGTGTGCCACTGCATGGTCCGGAAACAAACAGTACTGATTGTGATCCTGTTTATACTTTTATGCAGCTCCGTGGGGGAAAAAAATTAGGGAGTTGTGACACTTATCTTTTGATGTCTCCTAACCTCTTAAATCTCACAATGTCTGTCTCTATCAATGAAAGGCCATCCCTTCCACACCTGCTGAAAGACTGACCGAGATAAGGAGGAAAAAAGCAATGGATGAGGGAGGATGTGTTCGCAAAGCTACTCACGACTTCTGAGTTCAGAGCCCATGAGATCAGGGAAGAAAGGGAATGGATGCTGGACAAAAGGCACAAGGACCAAAAGGTGCACTCAGGTTATGTCTTCACTACCCACCGGCTTGGCGGGCAGCGATCAATCCAGCAGGGATCAATTTTATCACGTCTAGTCTAGACGCGATAAATCGATCCCCGACCACTCCTGTATTTCAGTACCATGAGAGGCACAGGCAGAGTCAACAGGGGAGCGGCAGTAGTGGACTCACCGTAGTAAGTCTATCTAAGTACGTCGACTTCAGTTACGTTATTGACATAGCTGAAGTTGCGTAACTTAGATCGATTTCCCCCTCAGTGCAGACCAGGGCTCAGTCTCAGAGGTAAACCAAGACATGCAGCTCTTCAGACAACACACTCAGCTGCCTCAGAGCATTGTGGAGAAAAGGATCCAAAGCCCTGCACCCCAACAGCCACTTCACTGTGTGGACAATACCTCCTTCCCAGGGCTAGAGCCATATCTCACCAACTCCCTGACTCCCCTCAAGGTGCCAGCATTCCTTGCAACAATAACCCTTCCACTCAACGCCACTGGACAAAGAGAACTGCCATGACCACACGTACACTAATTTGTGATGCAGCCCAGAGCAGCCAGCACCTTGCACTCTATTTTTGTGTGTCAGATTGTTCAAATTTTCTACTTCTTTAATTCACCGTGTTAACATTTTCCCCTTAGTCTTCCAAATATTATAAAATACACAACATACAGCACTAACACTAGGAATATTTGGCTCACAGAGGCTTATCCTAGTCATGAAATATCTCCATCATTCCTTTAATCTGCCAAATGTACATGCCACAGTCCGTCTGCACCTGCTCAAGTAATAGTTAAATGTTTCCTTGGTGCTGTCTAGCTACTCTGTGTATAGATTCATGGGACAGGGAAGCAAAAGGATACGACTTGAGTCCCTGAGAGTAACAACTGGCAAAGCAACCCCACCAATGCGAATAGGCTAGTATGGGGGAAAATGTCCCTACTGGCATCTTTACAAAACTTCTGTATACCTAAAGCATCCTGCACCTTTCCTGACCACCCAATGGTAACGTTAATGAAATGTCCACAGTAATCCACCAATGCTTGCATAAGCAGAAAGGCATACTTTTCCACGATTATGTAATCAGAAGCAAGCTGTGGGGGAGGGAGGGAAAAGGGGTGGAATGAATAGGGATATACATTGCATCTATTGCCCCAAAGCAGTTACAGAAGCCCATCTATTTCAGTGAATCCATCTATTAATTCCTGCATGTTGCCCAGAGTCACAATCATGTGCATCACAACATGCCCAATGGGCATGCACACATGGCTGACAACCACCCCTACTATAAATTTACCAATATCAAAGCGATTGCTTGCTGACCACTAACAATCCAGGATTGCAAGTGTCCACTGGGTGATTGCTCCCCATCTCTCCACTGCCAAGCAGCATTTGGTGAGCTCAGCACACAACAGCTGCAATAAACATGGCCTTCCACATCTGAACATTCTGTGAAGCCACGACTGGCTATGCCAGATTTGCATCACACTCTGACCCCACCACTCAATACTTGTTTCACAAGCCCAGCCCAGAACCACCTCTCCACCATGTGGAGCTGGTCACTATATGCCTGCAGTAGCAGGCGACTTTCAGTCAGTGTCTGTATCATCCACTCTCCTCAGTACTCTTATTTTCATTGTTGCATGGCCAGCTGCTGTAGTGATTGTTGTGGCTCCACAAATACCGAAGAATCAGTCAACCTGTCTCTAAAACAGACATGGTAGCTGCTCACAGATGTGTTTAGCATCCATGCTTTGGACTGCAAGGTGGCAGATACTGAAAACTGGCACAAAGGCAAATTATAGGATGGAACAGAGGAAACTGTCAGAATTTTAGAAAATGACAAAAAAAGAGACAATTATGGGTGGAAGTGGAGCAGAGGGACTTTTGGGACCTTCACTCCAAATTCCCTAAGAGGATCACTGACATCTCATAATACATCACCCCCTAATTTCCCACAAGGCACTGTCCCATGTGAGGGTGCAAGGGACACTGAGATGCCAATACAAGTGTGGTGCTGTGAGGATGTGCTGCAGTAGCCAGGGCAGCCATATGTAAAAGCGAAAGAGCAATGCCTGCAGCTGAATGCTGGGGGAATTGCTACTGGTAAAACTTTCTGGGGTTGACATGGCCTGAGGCTGAACACCCTTTTCCTCCTGAAGCAGCCCTGCCTTGGAGGCCATCAGTACTTAACCCCAAAGTCATGGAGGTGCTTGGCTCCCATCTACAATACTTTTACTTGTATTACACCCAGGGATAACAGTGTTACAACTGGGCCCTCTTGAGTCCGTTAGCATTGTAGAGGATAGGAGTTTAAATAAGAAAATTTCAGCTTCTTCCACACAGGAAGAAAAACTGAGTCGGTGGATCCACGGCTGGATTGTAAAAATCTGGGGCCATCACATGGGAAATTATAATAATACCTACCCTTTCCATAGCTTTTTCCATCAGTAGATCTCAAAGCACTTATGGAGCCCCACATCGTTCTTATTTTACAGATGGAGAAACTGAAGCACACAGAGCATGAGTGACTTGCTCAAGACCACCCAGCAGAGCAGGCCAATGGCAGGGCCAGGAATACAACCCACGTCTCCTGATTCCCAGGCCAGTGCTCCGCCCAGTTGACCGCACTGCCTCCCCTCCTAAAGGTGTCTCTGGCGCTGCCTCAGCCAGGCTGCGGGCCCTGAATGAAGTGACCCCAGCCCGCATCCCTCATTAAAAGCACAGCAAAAGCGAGCGCAGCGATCCTCACAAGCACGTGGGGACCTTACTTGTCCCCAAAACAAGGAAGGCCGCCGCTTACTCGGGTACTGCAGCAAGAGGTGGGGCGCTCAATGGCCAGGGGAACCCCCCCCCCCGGCCCCATGCCAGCCCCTCCCCAAGCGGAGCGCAGGACAGAGTCACTGGCGGGAGAAGGGGCCGGGCTCGCCGTCCTTGCCTCCAGCTCTGCCCGGGCTGCGCCGGCAGGGGCAAGGCAGCCCCGGGGCGTGCATGCAACGCTGCGCGCTGCTAGCCGCCTTCCACCCTCACCCCGCGCCCGTCCCGGCCTCCCGCCCTGCCCCTCCTCCCGCCGCAGGGAGGCGCCGCTCCCCCGGGAGCCGCCTGCGGAGCCCACCTGGCTGGTCCCCGGCTGCGCGGGAGCGGGAGCCGCGGCCGCCCCAGGTGAGTTGAGGGGAGCGGCGCGAGGAAGGACGCGGCTGGTTGGAATTTCCTCGCAGCGCCCGGGGCGCGAGCGCGCAACAGGCTGCGCCGCCCAGCGCTCGTCCCTGCGGCCGCCCGCCCGGGGGGGAGATGCAGGCGGGGGTGCCCTGTCTACACTGCGCGGGTTTCCCCCCCTAAAGCCCCCAGCCCGTCGGTGAGTTGCCCTCCTCCGGCCCCAAAAGGCCCGCGCTCCCGCGGGGCTTGTTTCCTGCCGGCTCCCCCCCCAGCTCCCTGCTGCCGCGCCTTGCAGCGCACTAATAGCGCGTCCCTGCTTGTCGCCGGGAGCAGCTGCTGCTGCTGGGATTGGTTTGGGGCAGGGCGAAGGAGCTGTTGTTCCAGGCTGCAGGTGTCTTGTACTTTCTGGGATGGCGAAAGAAAGAAACAAAACACAACCCTCAGCCCCCTTGGCGGAAGTTTTTTAGAGACGTCCCCCTTTTTTTTAGATTAAACGCTATTATTCTGCCAAATTCCTGCTGCCGGTGTTTTGGCCAGACGGTCGAACAGAGTTACCAGCACCTTGGGAATGGAGGTTGTTCCTAACTCTGAAATGTTTGTTACCCTGAACAAAAAGTTGGGGTGGTTTTTTCAAAAGTTTACAACTGAACACTGACTTAATACAGCTTTGAAACTTTACTATGCAGAAGAAAAATGCTGCTTTCCCTTTATTTTTTCATAGTTTACATTTAACGCAGTACTGTGCCTTGTTTGTTTGTCTGAATGCTGCTGCCTGATTGCGTACTTCCAGTTCCAGTATGGTTGACTGGTCAGTTTGTAACTCTGAGGTTCTGCTGTAGGTCAAACCTCTTGGCCAGCCAAACAAACAAATACTTCCCAACAGGTGTGTTTGTTATCAGGCAATATAACAAACACACATCCTTTGGAAGACAGGTAGCAAAGAGTAAGATGCTTAAGTTTAAAAACACTTTTTATTAATATATATTTTAAGCCAAGCACAGTTTAATAATTTCTTACAGCAAATACTTGTTTTAATACTGCCATTTGAATCCCAGGCACTCCTGTATAAATACAAAGCAGTATATATTTTTAATAAAAGCTACTGCTAGGTTTTCATTATTTTCTCTGAGTAGTAGTTAATGTACAGAAATCATAATGTTGAGCTATGATTAAAGCCCTTTTTCTGCAATTGATATTATGTGGGTGGGCAGCCATGTCACACAGGTTCAGCAATCTGCCAGGGAACTAATAATTGCAGGTTCAATGCCTTAGATTTCTTTAAGAAAGAAACATAAGTGGGTAGAGATTGGGAACTTCTTAGCAGAAGTGTGTGCTGTGGAATGGGGGAAATAATTCAGCATTTATTGTAAAATATTTTACCTTCACTGGGGGACATTTGACTTTATGAGTTTCATTATAGCAGAGCTCGAAGGCCATCCCATTGCTTCAAAAAACTTTACTCCATATTGAATATATTTTATTCAGTTTTCAAGTTTTTAATTTTTTCACCTATATTTCTTTCTATATAAGTGACACTGCATATAAACATGTGCTCAAATTCTGTAAAAGAGTTAATAGCTTGCTAAAATCTTTCCTCCAGGATCCCTGCTTAATTCAGAGCACAGTATATCATATAAACAAAGAATGTATTATAATGCATGTGACCAATACATATATACAAGTGGGCTAAATTAAGGTTGCAAAGGCAAATCATAACATTAATGTAGCTCCTTGTGTGTGGTAATGTATATTACTTGCAAATTTAGTGTTGTTCAAAAGTGCTTGGCTGGCAGACATGAAGACTAAAGTCTTTTTAGCTAGAGACAGGAACAGGCTTCTCTCCACCTCTGGGCAGCCCACCTCAAGAATGAGTGGACGCTGCCATTCAGTATCTATCAATTAGGAATGTTGGAATATATGTTCAGTTTCGCCACTGACTTGCTGTGTGACCTAGGGCAAGTTGCTTAAAGGAATACATGATTTTGGCCTCAAAGTTATATTTCATAAAAGTAGGTCTTTAGTAAACTTAAGAACATCAGGAATGTCTCCAGAACTTTTAAACATTACAATAGAAAGTTGTCTTTTAAAATAAATAAATATCTTGAGTAATTTCAAACAAAATGTTGTAATACTGAGACACCTGGAAGTGAAACTGACTTTAATGAATTAAAAACAAAACTGACTTCATGGATTCCCCCACTCCCTGCCCCATTCTTTTAAGAGGAATACAAAATTGAGAAGTAAAATGGATTTTTAAAGTTTTTTTCAGTTTTAATAATACAAGTGTTTTAATAGAGGTAAAGAAACATACTTGTTCACAATGACACTGATCTTGCAAACACTTAAGCATATGTTTCAGAGTGGCAGCCATGTTAGTTTGTATCAGCAAAAATAACGAGGAGTACTTGTGGCACCTTAGAGACTAACAAATTTATTTGGGCATAAGCTTTCGTGGGCATAAGCTTCATCAGTGGGTTTTAGCCCACGAAAGCTTATGTCCAAATAAATTTGTTAGTCTCTAAGGTGCCACAAGTACTCCTCATTGTTTAAGCATATGTTTAATTTTAAGCATGTGGGTAGACTCCTGGAAATGAATGGAGTGCCTCAAATTCTTAAAGCTATCCATGTTCGTAAAGTGTTTGCAGGATTGATGCTAATATGATGAATTAGCATTTTTTTTTCAATTTTAGAAAATGGTGCAGAGTCAATTCCGCCATTGGTGTAAGCAGTTGTTTTCAGTCCAGTTGTACCATTTCCCCCGTGGCTGATAGAATTGGTCAAAAACCATTGAAATTCTGATTTTGGGGAGGAGGGGAAATCATGAAAATTTCAGAGCCGTTTTTCCTTGTTTTTTGACCAGCTGTATGGTTGGCTGATATTTGAAATTTGTATGAAATTTTTCAACAATTTTGACTTTTTTTTATAAAAGGCAAACATTTTTCATAAATTTTTGTTTCCATTTTTTTAACCTCCTGAATTGGTTCATATCTACATGTTCTCCATGGAAAGTGACCCTGTAAGAAAGAAAACAGAGGCTGAGGGCTGAGACTGAAGAGGAACATATGCAAACACCAACCCAACAGCATTACTTGATTCTATGGTATAAAGTAATAAAAAAAGACGTTATATTTACAATACAGATTTCAGTTGAGTCACAATAATAGGATAGCAAGTAAGATTGGCATATTAAGTCAGTCAGTACTAAAATGAATCCCCCCCCCCCTTTTACCCTGCCAGGATGCCTGCCTGGTTGCCTAGAAGCTCTGTTTACACTATGACTTTCAAGTGAGTTTGTAACCAGTTACTGACATGGTTGGCTTAAACATGGTTTGCATCATATGCAAAAAGGTTAATCCACAGTTTGCAAAAAGAAAAGGAGTACTTGTGGCACCTTAGAGACTAACCAATTTATTTGAGCATGAGCTTTCGTGAGCTACAGCTCACTTCATCGGATGCATACCGTGGAAACTGCAGAAGACATTATATAAACACAGAGACCATGAAACAATACCTCCTCCCACCCCACTGTCCTGCTGGTAATAGCTTATCTAAAGTGATCATCAAGTTGGGCCATTTCCAGCACAAATCCAGGTTTTCTCACCCTCCGCCCCCCCCCCCATACAAACTCACTCTCTTGTGAGGGGGTGAGAGAACCTGGATTTGTGCAGGAAATGGCCCACCTTGATTATCATACACATTGTGAAGAGAGTGGTCACTTTGGATGGGCTATTACCAGCAGGAGAGTGAGTTTGTGTGTGGGGGGGGGCGGAGGGTGAGAAAACCTGGACTTGTGCTGGAAATGGCCCAACTTGATGATCACTTTAGATAAGCTATTACCAGCAGGACAGTGGGGTGGGAGGAGGTATTGTTTCATGGTCTCTGTGTTTATATAATGTCTTCTGCAGTTTCCACGGTATGCATCCGATGAAGTGAGCTGTAGCTCATGAAAGCTCATGCTCAAATAAATTGGTTAGTCTCTAAGGTGCCACAAGTACTCCTTTTCTTTTTGCGAATACAGACTAACACGGCTGTTACTCTGAAATCCACAGTTTGTAACTGCAGTAGCTGATCACATGGGCCTAGGTTGCCATATGTCATAACACTGTTATTTTGCTCTGTAGAGGACTGGTACGGGTCCACTGTCTCACATACATTTGGCAGCACTGCCATGCAACCCTGCATCTCAGTGGGATTCTCTCACCTCCAGCTGAGCTGCAGGAATTTTCAGTAAATATTCATGGTTTTCCTTACATGAAAAATCCTGCTAACTCTTTCGTCAATTTAAAGAAAGCTTTCTGAAGAAAGGCACAATTTTTTTGTGAAAAATGAAAAATGTTGACAATCTAGACAAGCTTTCATTTAAAAAAAAATTGCATTTGAAAACCGCAAAACATTTTTTTGTTTGAAAAATTTCTACCAGCTCTAAAAAACAATGATCCTGGGCCATAGAACTCGTATGAGAAATTACTGACTAAAGCAAAATTAAAATGACCAATTTATAAACCTCTCTGGACTGGAGAGCGAGGAGTGGTTGTAAAGGATTTACCGACAAACCCTTAATTTTAGCAGTGCTGCTGGGCAAGCCGGGCATAAGACACAAACGGTATTGTATAAATTCACTAATCAAACCTGCCAACTTCAAAACTAAAAGCTCAATCGGTACCTTTTTACAAAAACAATCAGCGAAAAAGCTTTCAATTCATTTTTTTTATCAACTGTAGTCTGTTTGCTTCAAATAAGAGACTGGCAGTTAGTATTATTGTTAATGCTAAATAACGGCCTCTTTGTACTATTGAATTCTCTCTGGCCCAGGCAAAAATAAACTGTTTTAAAATAAAATATAACATGTTTTTGAAGACAAATGTAAATATAATCGCTGGCCTATAACTAGGGCCCTACCAAATTCATGGTCCATTTTGGTCAATTTCATGGTCATAGGATTTAAAAAATAGTAAATTTCGTTATTTCAGTTGTTTAAATCTCAAATTTCACAGTGTCGTACCTGC